TGAAAATCTATGAAGAAGATGAGACTAGGCAAAGGGCCACTTAATGATTAGCTGAATTTGGCCCAACCACTGCAGAACTGCTCTGAATGGCATGGTGACAAGGGGACTCCTTTGTCTAACTAGAAAGACAGACCTGGGCACTTTCTTATTGTGCCCTACACCAGTGGTTCCTAAACTATCTGTTCCTCACTGAAACTTGAATGCTTTAAAAATGTAAATTCCCAGACCCACCGCCAGGCTTAATGAATTCAATTTCTTGAAGGGGGCATGGGAAGTTTGTGTATAAAATACCCACAGGTGATTGTGATGCAACTAGTTATTTAGAAACCATTGTCAGGAGACTTATCTAGATCCACCTTGGCTTTCAAAGGTCATGGGAGCAGGAGAGAGAGGACCCTCTTTTCCAGAGAGAGGAGACACTATGTCCCCAGCCCTCGTGTATGGAACAAGAGCACAGGAACTGAGGAGCGTGCTAAAGAACAGTAGAGCTGGTGAGGCCCTCTGCCAAGGGGGGCTGCCCAGTCATTCCTGGGCTCCAGCACAGGAAAGAAGGGACAGGAGGGAGTCAAAGGAAGAAACTTGCCTGGACCTTGTCTCCAGCAGGAACAGCCTCTGGCCCTGGTTCACCTTCAAAGACCATCTCCTCAAGGGCTCAGATGGTTAACTCATCACAGCAAAAGCACCATTCTTTGTACTATGCATCAGTTTTAAAGTCTATTAACCATGAAGACAGAGGACTGAGGAATACTAAATGTTTTCCTCTAGAATAGTGTTTCCCAACATGAAGCATGGGCATTTTGGCACAACACTGGGTAATGTCAGGTGATATCCTAAACCCATATGGGGCAGAGGCAGCTTAAATGGGGAGGCCAAGGCTATGCGAAGAAGAGGAGAATAGGAGCAGAAAAAAATGGAGCAGGGGCCGGCTGGTTATCTCAGTTGGCTAGAGCACAGTGTTATTACACTAAGGTCAAGTGTTCAGATCCCCATACCAGCCAGCCACACACACACAAAAAAGAGCAATATCCTACAGGGTTTCCTTTTCCTAGGCATGGGAGCCTCTTTCTCAGCCCAATTAGGATGCTGGCAACAATCCTTGAACCTCATTTCTCCATTAAACCACCTAATGATTTAAATTACTTTTTGTTATTGAATGACCCAAATGTAGACTTGACCATACCCCTCAATAAACATAGTTTAGAAAAATGCTTAGGAACACCTTGCAAGTATCTCTTCATGATGTTCTAACAAGATGATGGTGTGTGGATGGGTATGACAATTTTCTATTACTTTGCAAAAACTAATAACTGGATATGTTCAGAAAAACACATTCTGGATATTCCTCTCGGTATTTTTCTACACAAAAAATTTGTTGGACAAAAGTCCCTTGCATTGTGACTCTCAGTGTCCTGCTCTATCAACAAAAGTACAATTAAATGGATACAATTTTACCATTCTGGGTACAAATGTGAATTGGGATTCAAGATAAAAATAATTCACTGACAAAAAATTCTATCTTTATCTTAACCTTAGTGATGCTAAACTAGATATTTCTGGGTAACAATGAACAGTTCACTTATTCTCATTCAGAAATTCTTTTCTATATTTTACTCATATTTTTTATAAAAATTAGCAATTTAAATATTAATATTTATCAGGCTTACTTTTATGGTTACCTTCTCTTTATGCCATATAATATAGACTATTTAAAGAAGGCAAGAGAAATTTGCTTTTTGAACAAAATTTTCTTTAGAGCAAATAATATTTTTACTCAAATAAATTGAAATTAAAAATCATTAAAGGTGATGAATCATTGTGGGGAAATCCTGATGACAGTCAATGAGTGATAGCAGTTTGAGAATCACTTCTCACGGGTCTGTGGTTTTCTCTGGAGGAGGAAGGTACAAATCACCCGGATACAAGGGTGATTGATGAAAAGCAAGTTCAGGTGTTAAAACTTTAGGCATTAGTGGAGACCACAGAGGTATTCAAGGAATTAAGATTTTGGGGGAAAGATGACATAAGATAGACAAAGCATGAAATCCTTATGCATATTTTTACGTTTTCTGAGATAAAACCATGTAGCACATAAATAAATGATCTTTTCCTCATCATGTTTAGCAGTAATGGGTTCTATGCTATTAATTCCATAAACCATTCCTTGCATGATACACATTGCGGTGGGATCATCTTTCCCTACAGTTACCATAGAGAACCCACGCCAGGAGCATTCCAGCTCGGGCTCTCTCCATCCTAATGGACTTGGAACACAGTGGTGCTCTTATCCAGGAAATACTATCATCCCTGAGAGAAACAGTTATTAGAAAATAAAGACTTAGATATACAACAAGTCTTTAACATTCTTTGTTGAAAAGATTGGCTAAATGGGAATGTATTACCTCCTATCCCCAATTCCCCATCTTAAATTCCCAGCTCTGCCCATAATTCATCATTGTTAAATCATTTATTGACAGACTCTATTCGCATACATCTCAGAGGCCGTGAGAGTAAAGTTCTAAGGCCTGAATGTCCTTCTCTTTATCTCTCCCAGGTTAGTGCAGCACAGCTACAGGAGAACCCCTGTGGACCTGGGTTTGAATCCTGACCTCATCACTTGTTGACCATGTGCCCTTGAGCCAAATATGTAATTTCTGTGAATCCCAGAGACCTTACCTGCAAACAAAGGATAATCCTATTTCTGTAACCAAGCTGATGTGAGGATTAAATGAGATAGCATATATAAGGGGTTTAGCACAGTACATGGCACCCCCATTAAACATTAATATATGAACTTCTAATAATAATATTTTATTACTAAAAGATATAAAAATACCTTCTTTTTTCTCTCATTTATTTTATCTGTTGTCTATTCCATTTTAAATTCTTAACCATAATTTATTTTTTGTACATTTGCTAAATAGTAATAATAAATATAAAAATCCTCTTAAATATATTTTAAAGATATGCATGTGAATGTGTGTGTGTGTGTGCGTATATATATATATATATACACACACACACATAGAGAGAGTAACAGATGTAGGAAAAAATACTGTATGTTCAGGTCAATTGAACTTACATTGCTAAGATAATTCTTATTCCCCATTGTTCTGATGATTTAAAATTTGGAAAACCTGAGAACAACTGCTTTATAATCATTTAGTTTTTTTTTTCCTTTTTTCCTCTCTTTTCTCTCTCCTGTCCCATTCCCCCATTCCTCTATCCCTCCAGTCTCCTCCTCTCTCTCTTTTTGCAAAAATATTTTACTAGAATGCCATTTGAGTAGGAAAAACATATGAGGGTACTTCAAAAAGTTCATGGAAAGATTCATTTTAACTTTCAATTCTATTTTTCCATAGACTTTTTGAAGTACCCTTACACATATACGGTAGCTTTATCTTAAGTTATTTCCATAAATAAATGTTTACATGCCCATTACAGTAGAACACAATAATTCAGTGTTTCCTCACCATCGTAAATGTGTCATCTATTTCATTCTAGCATTTGACAGTTTCAGATTTCCTCATGCCCAAACAAAAAACCATTAATTATTGAATGTCTTATCTGAGGCCTCCCCTCAATGAAGTTACTCTCTGAGATTCTTGATCAACATTTACATAGTTTAATTATCTTGGAAATAACTGACTTCTCATTAACTTATTCAAGAAATTAACAAATTTTAAAGATAAAGAAACAGAATACTTTATTATAAAACTTATAAAATAATTAAATATTACACATATATTTTGACATTTCTCTATAATCCATGGTTTTATTCAACATTTTTCCTTAGAATTAATATCACTTACTCAGAGAAGCAAGTGAGAACACATAAGAATAGGCTATTAATTAATAAATTAATTTTTCCATAAAATAATAAAATGATAATTATATAAAGAAACAAATAACTTGCCATTTTTCAGAGTGCAAGGGGGTGGTGGTGTGGAACCATTGTTCTTTCTTTTCCTGGATGATGAAATGGCCACTACTCCAGGCCAAGCCAAGTAGATTGAGAAAAGGTCTTAAGTATTATTTCTCTGAGATTCAGGAACTCATGATTTTAATTAGAATGGGAACAATGAATGCTGCTAAATTAAAAAACAAAACAAAAACAAACACTGTCTAGTTGGTTATGCTGAGCTGGCTAATCCCTGTTTGAATTGAGACTTTTTAAAGAAGTAAAATTGGGTTACATTCATCAAAGAAGTTGAGGAATAGAGTAGAATTATATAAATACGCCCTTTCTAACCACTTCTCAAAAAAATTACAGAAAGATACAGTCTTGTAAGTTACTTTGGTTTTGGCAAAATAGTGTGGTGATTTTCCAATTGAGAACAGTTTTAAGCTCATTAATGCCTACCAACAGCTGGCTTCTAATGATTGAAAATACCATCTGCAAGACTATAAAATACTCTTATTCATTGAAGGTTCTTAGCATATTATAATTTATTAATATTAACGTAGCAAGAAGACAGATGGATTTTTCTGTTGTACTATGCTTTTTTTTGTTTTGTTTTTTCTTGTTAACTAAATCCTAGGGTAAATTTAAACATGTCTGTTGGTGGGAAAAAGCCACACACAGCCTTCAATTTTCCAAGCAACCCTGATAATATGCATGGAGCATTATAAACGATGTTCTCTTCTCCTTCAAAACACTACTATTTTACCATTTTGCTCCTAGATTGTTATCAGTAATGAACATTTCACCAATCTCCTTCCCAAAGAGCAGGCTTTGGCCTCCAGTCTACTTGTTCAGTAAGCACCAAAAGTTGAGGTTGATATGTGAAGGGCATCAGTATTTGTCTCTGGTATGAGTTTTTTTCCCCAAGAGTGAATTTCCAGAATATTCCTTAGAACACTTTTCAAGTTAGTCTTGGAGACCCTCTATAAGTAGTATATACTTTAAACAAAATAATAAAAAACACACACGCACTAAATAACATAACATGCAGCTTGCTAGTCCAGCAGCAAGCACAATATCAAGCACCATTTGGCTTTTCCTCTAACACCTGGTTTGGGTGTTCACAGTTTTAGTCAAACTGTGAACTCCCAGCAACAGTTAGGCAAGGTGTTTTATCCATCTTTGATTTCTCCAAGTCTCAGTCTTTGACCTGAAGTCTTAAAGGACCCTTTAAAACAGGCGTCTTTGTGATTGAACCCTTTCAAATTCAGAAGGGGGATCTATCCCAAAGTTGACAAGATTCTCACTTTGTCAAAATTAAAACTTGACATATTTCAGTGTGATTGATCACTTCTTTTGTGTTACAGTGCAAATCAAAGATTTTGTTTTTGGTAAGTCAGATTTGTCATCGCTTCCCATTTTCAAGTGCTTTGGAGTACCATGTGTTTTGGAGAATTAAATAAGGAGCCTGGTGGCAAGCTGTCCTTTCCTCAGAGCTGGCTCATCAAACACCTCAGCAGTTCACAAAGGGTTTGTAGTGCTCTCCTTCTGATCTGAAAGGTGGCTAGTCTCTTCAGATGTTGAAAGGTAGGACCCTGGCCCTGTGTTGTTGGGGAAGATGTCAAGATCAGCTCTTCCTTGTACATGACTTGCAGCACTGTTTACCATAAAATTTGTGGTTGCAGACACCATGCTGAGGAACTAGTTGACACCAGCTGAACAAATCTACACAGGATGGATCCTCTAAAGTGAGAAAACACATTTATCATGTTAGCTAAGGCTCTCAGAATTTTTCTTAAGGTGAGGGCCTGCAGAACAAAGACCTTGGGCCCACCTACTTTGTGACTCTGTATGACTCTTGCCATAGTACGACAGGAATTTGGTAAGGGAATGAAGCAGTGGTGGGATTAAGATACCAAAAGGGGCTATGACCATTAGCAAAATTTAAACAGGTGGGGAAAAATGGATGTTAAGAAAAAGAAGTCTTATACAGTCAGAAATCAATGTCTGATCCTCTCTATATAGCCTGGGAGCTACCACTGAATGGAGTGTCCAAAGGAAATATCCTAGAATAGCACATTAGAAGTTCCCTGGGGGATCTTGTTAAACCACTGGTTCTAATTCAAAAAGTCTGAGGCAGGAGTTGAGATTCCACATTTTTAACAAGCACCAGAGGGTGTTGGTATTGCTGGTCCACAAACTATTCTTTGGAGAGCAAGGAGCCTAATATATTGGGCACCTGGATTTGATGCTCAGCTCCAATATTCTGTGTAGGTTTGTTTAAATCAGGCAGTTTGCAAATAAGTGCATTTAAGTCAACACCGGTCCTTTCCAATTTCTTTAGCTGCTTAAGTAAGATGACAGATGTGATCATCCATTGGAAGCAAGACATTGTACATTAGAGATTCTTATTCAGAATGGCCTCAGGAGATACAGAATGCATGTGAAATTGTATGTAAAATTTTCTTTATGTAAACATAAAAGCATGTTTTAGGAGCTAAGGCTCAGTCATTTTACTAGTCTTAAGGCAGATTTTTGACTTCAAAATTATTTAGGGTCTTCACTATGCACGAGTAAAATATCCTCATTCATTGCTAGATTTGTTTTCTCTTTTCTCTATGCAAGCTTTAAGTTGCCTCAAGCCTTGACAACCAAAACCACCCCCGCCCACCCACAGGCACCAATCATACCCCTTTCCAATTACATCCTTCAGTGATTCTCTCTGGTGCCTTTGGACATGGCATGTAAGACTCACAGCTCTCCTGCTTCCTTGCTTGCTGCTCCCAATCTGCATCCTATCTATGATTCAGAACTGCCTACAAATCTTTCCTCAAGCCTTGATTCTTCTGCCTAAAATTCCCTTCTATATCCCTCCCCATCTCACAGTAGTCCCAGTGATTCCTCTCAAACATAAGCCAGTTCATGTCATGTCTCTGTCCAAAACGTCCCATTGGCTTCCATTTCACTGGATTCAAAAGTGCAGTGATCACAATGGCCAACAAGGCACTAAGATCTGGCTCCCCCACTACCTCTTGACCTCATCTTCCTCCTCGCCCCATCCCTTACCCAATCCAACCATGCTAGCCACCTTGCAGATGCCCTAATATACCAGGTGTGCCCTGGCTTCCCCCTCCCTGGCTCTGCTAGGAACACTTTTCCCAGAGACATTTGGCTGGCTTTCTCTTCACTTCCTTTGACTCTGTACTCTAAGGTCATTTGTCAGTAAGACCTTCCCTGAACACCCTATAAAAACAGCAAGCTCCCCAGCCTCCCAGAAGAATTCATCATTCCCTACCTTGCTTTATTTTTCCATATTGGGTTTATCAGCACTCATCTTAGTATGTGTTTATTTACTGTCTGTCTCCTCTACTAAGTCTCAACTAGGGTATAAAGATAAAATAGGGTTATATTTTTCTTTCTAATAACTCCTGGATATATTTTGAAGGTGGAGTCTAGAGAATTTGCTGCTGGGTTTTATAAAGAGTATGAAAGATTTAAAAAAAAATCAAGAATGACTATAGGATTTTTCGCCTAGGCATCTAAAGGAATAGAGTCATGTTTACTGAAATGGGGACCCCTACAGGGATAAGGTCAGCACCAGGAGATTGATTTGGGATATATTAAGTTAGAGATACAAGTTAAACGTTGAGATAAAGATCCACTTAAACTCTGCCTATCTATCAATATATATACATCATCAAGTTCAATTATTTTGTGTGTGTACTTATATAGTATCTGATACCCACATCAATTAGCACATACCCTAATCAATCAGCATGCATGTCTGGATTGGTTTTTATTTAGACTGCAGAGATTATCCTATTGGTGCAGTGAAAGTACTGGAGGCTAAAAACAGACTATTAAAACCATGGTCCTATCTATCTTTACTGTTTTATCAACACTCACCCTCCTTAAGAGATAAGAGAGGAATTTCAACAGGTATCTGCAGCTGTGCTATAAGCTTCACGTACAGCAGGACTCAAAAGTGAGGTGCATCACTATGCTATCACTATAAGCACTCTGATTATAGTTGTAATAATGATTAGTAACAACTGATTATTTGAGCTTCTACTATGAGTCAGATATTTGATTGACGTTACTGAGGGTGACCTTGGTGTCCTCACACCTTGATGCAAACAATCAACAGATATTATTGGCTCCATATTCAAAATACACCCAGCATCCAGCTTCTCCTGACCACCACCACTGGTCATCAGAATGTCCCCCATCTTTCACTGGACTGCTGCAGCCACCTCCTGACAAAGAGTAGACAAGTCCCTGTTCTACTCTAGGTAACCCACACTCTTCTCCATGCAACTTCCGGCGGTCCTCCCACAAGCCACATTCTACTGCTTCCCTGTTCAGAGTTCTCCATCGATTTCCATCTTACTCTTCCCCATGTAGAATTCCAGCATGGACTGGAGCTGATCCGGCTCTGAGCAATTGCTACATAACTAGTTTTCCTGTCTTGTGCAAGCCTCAGAAAAGATAGGGAAGGGAGCAGAGGAAGGAAAGTTGATGCCCCAAGCCTGGCGTTAAGACTATAAGAAATAGATAAATAAGAACAACTTAGAGGTGGACAGTGACAGGGCAGAGCAAGTAATGGTCATGAATCTGATTCACCACAAAGTGGAAAAAATGGGGTATGAGCTTGGACCATCTTGGAAAAGCTGAGATTGGATTTAAAAAAAAAAAAAAAAACACGTAGGAGTTATGTGCTAGAAAATGAGTCTTTAGCACAAGGAAATCTTATTAGACTAAGAAATATTTCCCAGTGTTTGTCTGATTACTTTAAAATAAGTGGATGAGTGAAAAATGGTACAGCTCATTCAGATAATTGAATTTTCCATCTCCCATCAGTACTCTCTGCACCTCACTTGTACTGACTTAAACTAAAAAAAGCTTTAAGGTATAGTCCTAGGACAATACGTATTCATTGTGGGTGATTTTAACTTGTCTATCTCCTCAGTTAAAAAGAGAGCTCCTCGAGGGCAATTCTTGTTAGCTCTCATATTCCCACTAATTAGTGTAATATCTGAATGGTTATTTCTTCATTTGTTTATGCGACAAATATTGAATTTAAAGAAAAGGACTTGCAAGATTACCATTAAGAATCAATGGCTAAAAAACCTTAGCCCAGAATTAAATGTTTCCTTTGGACCCTTATGAACAAGATCATTTTGACAGGAACTGCCCAAAGCCATGCTCTGTGCAACCCTAGGAGGCACCACTACACAGACTTTGATGAGAGCAGCACACCCCAGAGTTGTGTGATGCACAAGCAGCAGAACCAGATAGAGTGGGCTTTTGAAGAATTCTGAAGGTCTAGTAAATTGGCTGGAGCAGGGTGCCCTTTACCTCTCTTCTCGGGAGCTGGACAAAAGTTTGTATTGCAGGCTCGTAGCCCAGGAGGCTTCTGACTCAGCAGACAACTTGAGGAAGGCCGTCCTTGCTGAACACAGTGGACTGATCGGGTCTGGACCCCTCCCCCACAGGTGACCGTGCACTGAAAGAAAGAGAGAAGAGTCAGAAATGTTCAGCTGGCTGGTGTCCTCTCTGAGGTCAGTGATATCACAAAAAAGGAATCCACACACTTGATGATTGTCTGGAGCCAGGTACATGTGCTTATGGTCCATAGAGTCAATCCTAACACAAGTGAGCTTTTTGATTTGATATGAAGAGCAAATGCTATTTATCTAGCCCAAGAGTGTGTATCTCCCAGTTAAGTGACTCATAAAGAAGAGAGGTTCCAGAAACACAGAAGCTGTCATACAAACACAGAAGTAAATACAGACACATCTAGGGAATTAATCACAGTATTCAAAAAATTCCAGACAATTCCTGTGGATGCAAGAGTGAAGTAGGTAGTTCAAAGCTAGGACAGAAAAAGAAATGATAATCTGAGACAGCTTTGGAATTATGCCCTTGGTGTCCAGCCAAATTTTGAAATAGTATGGTGAATTTGATGCTTCCTAGAAGTCAGTCATTTTACCATTCAATTAAAAATTTTTAAAAATAGACAACTAACAAGGACTATCAACTTTCTTATTTTTTTCAGATAGAAATATGAAAAGTTAATACAAAGATATTTCATTACAAAAAAATAAAATAGGGAATATTGTCAGAAAATATGCAGCCCTTTAAATTGATTTTTTTGTTGTTCAGCTTTAAAAATTCACTACACTATCCTTTTGTTGTTGTTGTTTTTTCTTATTTTATTGCAGACAGATGAAGGCTTTATCTTGGACAACCATCATATATGGTCTGGTATCGGGGAGAAAAAAAATATGTTGGCGTGGAAAGAGTATGAGTTTGGAATTAGCCCAATATTCGAATATAGTAGTATGATTGTCATCAGATCATCTAAACTTTTCCTGTAAAGGGTGAGATAGTAAATATTTTAGGCTTTATGGGCCATGTGGTCTCTGTTGCAATTACTCAACTCTGCCTTTGTAGCACAAAAACAGCTATGGCCAATATATAAGCAAATGAGCATGGCTGTGTTCCAACAAAACTTTATTTACAAAAATAGGCAGAGGTTGTGGGAGCAGACTGGTCTGCTGGCAATTGCTTGTTGACCCTGATCTAAATAATATTATAAGAATCAATTTCTAAATATGTTAAATGAGTAAAATAAAACTTTAAAATTGAAATCCACAGCAATGTGTATATCACCCAGCACAGTGCCTAGCCAGTTAGATGACTAAATCATGCTAAGTTTTTTTCCTTTTTTCCATGTTTTAGTTTCCAGATCCTCCCAAACACATATGTACACACAACACATATATACATATGTACATATACATATATGTGTAAACAAATACATATACACACAGGTATACATATGCATGTATCCATGTATATATAAACACACATATAAATACACACACATATACAAACACAGATATGCATACTTATATATTTGTGCCTGCACATAACCCCAACCAGCTCCTGTGTTTAATGTTGAGGTGAGCAGCACCTCTCATGCCCAGGAGTCCTTTGAAGACCTGTGAAACATCTGTTGGTTGGGATGCCACAAGGACCATGACACAGTTTTGGGTTCCTGAGGACATGCTGTTCTCTCAGACTCAGCATCAGATACCAATCCTAGTCAATAAGAACTAAACCAACATGACCGAAGTCCATCCAAGTCTTCTCAGAAAGAGGATACCTCTAACATTTGATGAGCTTAAAAGCTGGGTGGCCTTAGCTGAACTGTATAACACTCTGAACTTTACATCCACAAAACAAGGAGAATAATACCCACCAATAGCATTGTTTCAAGGATTAAGTACAAGAACAGAGAATGCAGGTACTTAGCACAGTGCATAGTAATGGTTTGACAAATGTTAGCTATTGTCACATTAGTAGGGAACTTGAACCAAATGTGTAAAGACTGTGAGCATCATTACTAAAATATGAAAGACGATAGCAGTGGTTTTAGTAGCAGCAGCAACAACCAACATCAGCAGTATGTGAGGGGCCTGTTGCTAAGTGCTTTATATTCATTATCTTATTTATTTATAAAAAAAAAAAGCAACTCTGCCATATATTATCATCCTAATTTTCTAGATGTGAAAACTGAGGCTTACAGATTATGTCACCTGCCCGGGGTCACACAGGTGGTAGAACAGGTCAAACAATGCAAGCCTTCCTGCCTCCAGAACTCCAGCACTTTGTCCTTTACACTCCAACGACTGTTGATGGAGTAAGAGCAAGGGACACCTCCTTTTCTTGCATCTCAATTGAGTATAAGCCTCCCCACCTGTTGCCACGGTGATGAATACCAGCCAGCTGCCATACTGTACACAGGACGGGCTGGACAAGCCCTTCGGTTGCAGGTTTCTTCCAAGTCCAGGTTTGGTTTCTTAATACTGCGGCATCTCCGCTCTGGGAAAGTTATCAGCTTTCCCTGGAAGGCCTTCTCGCTGCATCTCATCTCCCTCTTCCTCACACCCAAACCACAGCTTGCGGAACACTAGGAGCCAAGAAAGAGGGTGTAAGAGTGCAAAGGTCCATGGTCACATCTGCTGAGCAGATGCATTTTGACATAAGGTTGCACCACTGACATGAAATTAGAGGGATGGGGTTAGGGAAGGTCAACCACATACACATGCACACGCATGCATGCACACGTGTGCACTCAAGGACCTTAAAGGTCCAGCAGCCGAGTTCCTCATGCTGCAGGTAAGGAAACCAAAGGTCAGAGAACTGGAGTGACTTTCCCAAAGTCACAGGGTTCATGAGCACCATAAAAAAGAAAGCAGCCACTGTTCAGCAGGGACTGTGAGATGCCACGTGGACGTGGGACAGAGCCTGAGAGAAAGACAAAATTGGTAGAAGGATGAGATCAGGTGTGGGGTTAAACACCTGTGGTCCAGGTGCATCTGAGACCTCTCTGAGGAGTTGGGAGTCTGAGAGCTAGGGAGCTAGGGCACAGAGAAAAGGGTTAAGAGACAGCCGAGTAGGAAGAACCACTGGATAACAAATAATTCTCCTTTATTTCTACCTTGCCTCTCCCTCATCTGAGATATAACCTATTGGTGTGTTATGACAGGGAAAAAAAGAAAGAGAGAGGGAGGGAGAAAGAGAAAGATGGAGGCTGATGAAATAAGTATGAAAAAACATGTTTTTAAAGGGATTTTAAACAGTATTATGGGATAATGTATGGGGTCTTGATGAAGTGAATAAATCAGTAAAATTGGTGTCAATGTAAACATCACAGACAATAAAGGATGACACCGAACTTCCTACTTACTACCCTACAAGGGAGGGGTACCTGTTAGCTCCACTGTACAGATGAGGAAGGCGAGGTTTAGCCACGTCTAAGCTATGGCGGTGACTAGCCAAAAGTCACATCCATAGTAAATACTGAAGGCTGATTTCAAATAAGGTAAGTCTGATTCAAGCCCAAGCATTTATTCTTTAGGTTATAATGTCTATTAAAGAAAATGTACGAGGAGAAAAGAGATGGAAATATCGCCACATTAAATGCATGTGTGATATGGACATATGTGTATCATGACAAGCATAAATCATATGCTTGTCATTTAGACAGAATAAAAGGACGTGGATAAACAGATCCATTGGCTGGTGGGATAGAAGCCCCTCCTCTGTTAGACCTCACTATCCCCACTATTGTTTTTTCCTCTTTCGTGGCTTCTGTCTTACCAGACTGTCCTCATTTGTCACCACTGTATACTCTGGGCTTCGCCCCTTTCTTACATTTCCTATGTCTGTGAATTCAACTGGGTTTCCCGAGCCAGAAACCTAGGAGGCATCTTCACATTTTCATCTCCCATACCCCTATATATGCCTGAAGGTACCAAGTAACCTCTTTAGGAACTCAAATACATCACTTCTATCATCCCTGAGACACTTTCCTCTTTTGGCTTAATTACCGCAATATCCACACAGGGGCCTTCCCTGCCTCTGGGGTTGCCTGTTTTGCATCAGTTTTTTGCTCTAAGATGAAAACCCAATGTTCCACTTCTTTATTTAAAATTTCAATAGGCTCCCCAATGTTTATAGGATATATTTCTAGTCTGGCCTTCATGATCTATCCCTGATGAAGTTTCCACTCCACCACAAACCACGTTCCATCCTTACAGAGTGTGCAGTCCTTGGCCGTCTCTCCCTGGTGTAGGGTGCACTCTGTTTCTGGAACAACCTTCACCCAGCCCCACCTTTGCCTGATCCCTGCTAGGCTCATACTCATGATCTGTTGGGCTTGTGCTCCCTAGAAAGTCTCTTCTGACAAGGATTCTTCCAGAAGTCTGGCTTGGATGAAACTTGAGCTCTTCCACAAAACTACAGACTTCTTTCGCAGCACTTTGCATACCTGAATCATGTTTCTCTACACGTGCTTTGTGAAGTTGTGTTCCCCCACTGCCCAGGCATAGGCCTGATCATGTCATGAGTGCTTTTTGAATGTTTGATGAAGAAATCAGGAGAGAAGAACCGGCGATTAGTAGGCACCTGATATATGTGTGTGCAACAGAGAGGAGCTTTGTGAGTCTGGATGCTAGTGGGAGAGCTGAGCATTAAAAAGAAAGAGAGAGAGAAAAAAAGAGAGAGGCCAGCAGCACATCTAAACTCATACCTCACTCCAAGAAGAGGTGACCCACTGTAGCCGGTTGTTTTTAGGGCATCGTCCTAGCACACAGACCTCCTGTGCCTCAGGCCTGGGGGTGCTGGCACACACGCTCTCGGGGAGGGTGTCTGGGGCAGCAGCAGAACTTTTGCAGAGGAGTTCACGCCTCCTTACCCCTCGCCCACAGGTCTTGGAACACTTGAGAAAAAGAAGAAGAAAAGTGCCATTTGAGTGCCCGTTTCAGATGATTTTCTTCTGGCTAAATGCTGAGAATGTGCTAATGAAATGTTTGCAAAACTATTTTTTGGTTTTTGAACAAAATTCTCAATAAAATCCCATGCAGCAGGAGAAATCCATCCAGAGTCCCAGGAAAGACTCCAGCTTGTCCATGATTCACATTCACCTGCAACCTTGTGAATGTCCAGTAGCTGTGTGTTGCCCAGGTCTGAAGATAAGTTGCATTCATCACAAGGCAGAGGTCTCCTTGGTATAGCATACATGGTAACCATTTGGAAAATGGGACGTGGCCTGTTCATTGGTGTAGATGTGTGTGTCTCTGTGGCATGAGGCAGAGTTGGCCTGGACACTTAGCTAACAGAGGATCACTAGTGTCTCCAACAAGGAGAATAATAGCGGAAATATGTGTATGCATATAGAATATGTATATGTGCGATAGCAACAATAAGTGACGGACATGAATAAAAACAGGGTTGGAGGGGAGTCTGTTCTCACCCCTAACATCTGCTGCCTCTGGGTATTGAGCAAACTGTTGGGAAGGGGACATAAGCACTCGTCACATGTTTTCGAGTAACTCTGCATAATGAAATCTTCATGATGGTCTGTTGACTCTCTCACTCTTACTTTCCTGACATTTGCAAGAACTCTGTGAAATAGATAAAGCAGCAAATAATCTCCTTGCTTTCAGATGAGTAATTAAAAACTTTCCAAGGTCACTTAAAAGACTTTGAATCCCAGGCTTGGGTTTGTCCTCAAGGAATGTGTCACCATCCTGGCCCTGACAGTCGTCTT